CTCTCTCTCTCTCTCTCTCTCTCTCTCTCTCTCTCTCTCTCTCCCCCTTAAGGCCTGTGCTTAAACCTTTATTAAAACCTTTCCTTCAGAAATTAAAACTTAGCTTCATAATGAGAAAAGAAGAATATCTACACAAGAGAAGTGAAATTGTAATCAGACAAAAAGCAAAAGTTAATATAAGCGTAAAAACATGCTATGTCAGGGGCACCCCAACAATTCCAAATAATAAACATGAAAACCATGGAGGGGTAAGGCAGAAACAACTTAATATGAAAGATTTCAAATGCCCTAAAAGGATTTCAGACATTATTTTACTGTTGTATTAAACCAATAAAAGATTTTTTCCAGAAGTTATGATACAATTCGAGTCACACTAAAAAATAATAATGATATGTCTAGCAGCCACATAGAGTACAAAACAGAATGGAGATAAACTGAGGCAGCTTGGCTTAACCTTTTCATAGGTTGCATATGGGATTATGCAATGCCACATTATAGTGATGCTTGAATAAAAGACAGGCTGACTCTTAGCATCCACTTAGTCAAGAAGAGACCCGAGCTGTTCTGAGAACCTGTTCCTTCAGATTTGTCCCAAAACTATTCTCAAACCAAGGCCTTGATCCCTTATTTAAAATTGTATTTTTGTATGAGTGTTTCACCTGCATGTATGTAAGTGTACCTGTGTCATGCAAATGCCCTTGGAGGACAGAAGAGGGCGTAAGAGCATCTGGATCTGACTTTACGGACAGTTGTTACCTGCCATGTGGGTGCTCGAAACTGAACCCTGGTTCTCTACAAGAGAAGCCAGTGCTCTTAACCTGCTGAGCCATCTCAGCAGCTCTATTAATCCCTCTTTATTGAAGACCCTTATCTTATGAGAGAGATTTTGCTCTATCTGTCCCCTACTGACATAGAACAGTACACACAAGCACAAGCAGGCGCTATCAATCTAGTCCCATCTTCTGCAATACAAATAGAATAATTCATTGCTTTCAAGAATATCTACCCCTGCTTATAGTGCTTGATATACCGTCCCCCCAACACACACACATGCATGCACGCATGCACGGGAGTTCAGGGTGAAAAGTAAGGAAAGGTCATAAGGAATTAAGCTATACGTTTAGGTTACAAGAGGACCAAAGACATAGTGAGCTAGTTTTACATATAAGCAGTCTGAGATACTATTAAATGATTTCAAAACAAAGTTAAGTTTTTTGGTTGCAAGGTTAGGTAAAAGACTTCTGACATTAAGTTAAAGAAAAAGTCATTCCCACAATTTTCCCTTCTTTGTTTTATAATGGAAGAAGCATGTCCAAATGGTAAGTCATTCCAACAGTAGCATGCACATCTCTACTTTGGGGGGAAAAGGAGGGACTGCTGAGAATTGAAGCCCTGCACATACTAGATAAGTGCACTATCACTGAGTTACATCCCCAGCCATGACACATATCTTGAGCAAATTCAACCACAGAATAGCCCTATTAATCCTAAGCACAGGTTTCTGCGGTATTATGGTCCTCTATGCAAATGTTCCTGAATCACAGCATTTAAAGAGAAATGTCAAAGTAAGGCTCTATAACTTCTCTAAAAGACACACCTATGGTAAAGATTCTCCTGATTTACTGATTACTACTTTTTGATTGTAGAGACTTAAGAGTGTTGCAGATGCAGAGCCAAAACGATCTTGGGGTTCCTGAACAGTCACTTATCACCAACCTCTCTGTGTGTGAACTAGCATTCTTTTGACTATGTGGCATAGCATATTCCTTGGAAATTTAATCTACATAATTAGATTATTAGCAAAACACTAGGTTACATAATCCAAAATGTTAAGAATGCCATAAACATCTGAGACCAACAGCAGAGATTTCCTGTTTTGCTGCAACCTGCCTACCTCATATGCTCACCAAGGTATTTGGTGAGTGCACTGATTCATGACGGTTTTTTGTTCTATGACCACAAAAAGTTCATAGCTGCTTCTACAAGTGGAGCATAGTCAATCAGGGCAACCCGAATCCATGTCCCAAGCCATGGTCACTCATTTTGGCTCAGAATAAACTCCTATTCCCTTTTGGAGTAAGCTGTGTTTGGCATTCAAAGTTCTCATTCACAAATAAAAACATGCCTCATCAATTTCAAGTTTCCCTCAGCTAAATGTAGGGACGGAAGGTGGCAATACTGAATTGGCATTGAAGAAATTTCGTTCAACCGAGAGAAAGAAAAATGAAGGAAGCAGCATCTCCCATTTCCAGTTGTTGTATTTGCTGCTGGTGATGAGGCTAGAAACAAGTAGCTGCAAATCACACCAGAGCTCTGAGACCATGTGCTTGACCCCTGGAGGAGAATTACTTCTGAAGAACATTTCAGAGATCACAAATTCCTCTCCACCGAATCTGTCAGCAAAGGGACAGCCCCATCACTGCAAGGTCTGCTTGCACTTCAGCAAGTCACCTAAGGGATGTGGCTGCTGTCTCTTAGCTTCACCCAACTACCTAAAGATAAAATCAGGATGCTCTTGACTTGACAGATTGTTTTTGTTTGTCTGGATTCCTAAGCTGCTCACTAGAAGGACTTGGTACTAGGTCCCTCCTCAGTAACCCTACTCTTCTGTG